CACACACACACACACACATATAGTCAACCACCCTCCACCATCAACACCACCACAGACCACTTTTCCAACACACTCGTGACTCAGGGCTTGTGATTTATCGTGTTTCCCTCCCTCCTAATTTCATTCTGAGTAATGTCCCAGGATTAATTAGAAACGTCAGCATCGATACCCATAAGGTCAACAATCGTCGCCCCATGGAACTAGCAAAGGTTGAAAAGCGAATATATATTTGCGACAGGAATTGTTTATCTTGACCACCAGGAATTAATGGCAAGCTTTTTGGGTGTTTCTTTTTCGTTTTGTTTTGTTTTATTTTCCTTTTTTCTCCTTGTTTTGTTGTTTTAGTAAGGTTTTACGGCGCTCGCAACTGCGCCAAATCCTTTTTTGTTGTTGTTTTAGTGTTTTCTGTTATGGTAGAATATTTCACCGGGCTCTTTTCCTTTACCGAAGGCCGTGTGAATCTAATGATCGAGCATACGTGAGAAAAGGCTGTCATCGGTCACAGAACTTGAAAATTGGGTATGAAATATAGTCAAAACTGTCTAAGACGGGCATTCATAGTCGAGGAGAAGAGGTGACCGTATTACACAGTGTCATTATAATGTAGCAAACAATACACAAGGGAGATTTTTATTGTTTCGTTTTTCTTGAAGCATAACGATTGTTCCGTGTTAGCCGTAACCTACAAATATCGGCACTCGGCACTAAAACCAGGACACAGGACAAAGACAAAACAAAACGAAATACACAAGGGAGGAAATGGGAAGATCCGAGTCCGTTTGTACAGACAGATGTGATTGTCTTACTCAGGTGACCGTTTGAGCAGGTACGAGTGTACTCGTGTTATACATGTAGTTCTGTCAGCCTCTGTCATGTTTAGAGATGCATACTACTTACATGTGTTTAAAAGATGGAAATCTAGGTGGGGGGAATGAGCTGTTCATTAATAGGGGGAATCGGGTTATTTTCTGTCAAGTGTTATATTTCACTTTCAGTTCAGTTGCACATTATTTCACTTCTTTTGAAAATCAACTCCGGCCTCCATTTTTCCACTGGTATCTCCCAATGCAAAGACAAACGATCTGCAAAGTGTACACAGCGTAAACATCAGTTAACTCCGAAATTGCACCGGGCTACAAAATTAAATCACTATTAAAAGTTTTAATAAATTTTTTTCTCCTAATTTTGTTCGTGTTCACGGGACAGCTGATTTCATTTATTCAATTATACATGTGTATTTCAATTATTATTTTTAGTGTGTATGTCTCTCTCTCTCTC